AATAAAAAACATTCAAAATTTAATGCTGAGTAAGATATTTTGAATTTTAAACGTTGGGAACCAACAATCCTTAAAGGGATGTAAATATTTTATTGATGCTCTTTACAACACCTATGAATATTTTATAATTTTCTAATGAAAGTATATGAAGTGATGACAATAAAGTTGAGTTTTTAAGTCTCTCAATACATTGCCTTTGTATAAGTCTATAATATTTATGAAAGTTATTCAATATTTCCAACATAAAAGTAGACTTCGATTTTATTAAATAATAAACGATACTAAAGGTTGAATGCTTTCAAAGTGAAGAAATATAACGTGACATGATGGTAGGAAATTACTTCTAACTTTCTATACTAACGCGCAAGTGTGGCACTAAATCTTGCAACCGAAAAGTTGGCTTCTTTGTCCAAGTTTTGAGTGGAGTCTACGAACAATCACTTATACTAGTTTGTTGTAGAATCATTGTTCACTATTTCCTGTAGATTTTATTAAAATTAATCATTTTTATAGCTACATATATATAAGGCGCCATGGCTTTTTGAGCAGTCTTCTTCAAGATTTTGATATTTTAACAATTTCAAGATCAAAATATTTTTCTAGTAAAACCAAGCCAAGATTTGTAAACAACTTTGTAATTATATATAATTTCTAGATAAAATATATAAATAGATAAATATATGAAATAATTTAAAGCATTTCTTAATTCTATTTAAATTTATGTGTATTTAATTTTCTTATAACATTGTAACGCGTTGCATACTATATGAGTAAGAACTCATTTATAATGATCATTAAAATATCTATTTTCGATATATATATATATATATATATATATATATATATATATATATATATATTAACTGCCTCGATGGTGTAGTGGCTAGCATGTACAGCTGCACACCCGGAGGTCCTGGGTTCGAGTCCCGGGTCGGGCCAAGTTTAGTTATTGAGTCTTTCTGTATAGTAAGTCTCAGTAACAGCCCGGAGTTGGGAAGTTGGCGGTGCTTTACCCCCGTGCCTCGGAGAGCACGTAAAGCCGTCGGTCCTGCGCCGACACTCTCACTGGTCGTGTCGAGCAGTCGTCCCACCGGAGTATGAGAGTGACAGGAATAGAGAGTGCACTTGTGTCTGCGCGCACACTTGTGCACTATAATATCTCCTGCGCAGTTGGCTAGTCTCAATGAGATTGGCCGCCGTAGCCGGAATCGGCTAGGAGAACATCATCATATATATATATATATATATATATAATATATATATATATATATATATATATATATATATTTAAAAAGGTACAATATCATTGTATGGCGTGCGCTCGCCCATAACAGCCGGTCGGAGAGCTCATCGACATAGGACGTGTGCCAGATTTCACTCTAAGCTTGTGATACAAGAATAGCTAATAAATGTAAAAAAAGCAAAAATCGAAAACATAGTTTTATTTAAAATGCTATTTAAAAAGGAAAGGATATGAAGTTTTGTTTCTCAGAAATGGTATAATTACACAAACATACAAAAAAAATATTAAAATAATAATTTAATTCTTTATTTATTTGATTTTCAAGAGAAACGTACAGTACAATAAATAATAACACATATAACATATAAATATCATAATATACAGAAAACATATAAATTTATACCTAAAACAAATCAAGTTTCCACAGATATCTTGTACATAGAAATAGCTTGCCACCACAATACCACCACTACTCGCGAATTTGGTATTGCGCGAAAAACTAATAACTATACGAGCTCAATGGGTAGCTATTTCTTAGTCATTTTCAACTTTCATTACATTTATGAATATAATAAACACTTAGGTATATTAGATTTTGTAAAGCAATCTTTTAATTTTATCTCGTGTAAGTAGACTGGATGAAGACAAATAAAAAACTTAAGTAAGTAGTAGATATAGCTAACTTCAATTAATTTTATTTAATCAAATTTAGCTTTATTTTTGTTGTACTGTTGCAGCGAAAGTGTCTATTCAGTCGTTGCAATTGTTCTATTGAACAATTGTTATAGAACTATTGATGTTTTTACAGTTTGGGTTTTTTAATGTAAATTTTTGTGAAAATAACCGAATCGACTCGGTAAATTTACTGTCTATTGACGTTTATGTATTGTTTTTTAAATAGTATATTTTTCTGTGACAACTATCAACAATTGAGCTATATCAATCAAGATATTTTATCATACAATTTATTAAATAAATTCGATTTAAAAAAAATTATTACGTTGGTATTTATATTCTAGATAGTAAAGGCAAGGTAAGATAACTTAGACATATCACAGTAATGTAATGCAAAAATATTACCGTGTACATATCATACGATTTCATCAAAATTCCCAATATCAGAATTTCCAAAAAACAAATAAATATAAAGTAATATCGTACAAATTACCGACATCTAAAAAGACAAAACTACAATGTGTCATAAACATTTGTCAAATGGTTTTTTCATGAACAGTAACAAAACATACATTTGCTCATTAAGTAATGTTTGTATTCTGGCATTGTTATTCTGAACAAATGAATGTATACCTTTAGTATATGCTTAACAAACAATGCAAACGGAAATGAACACGGCATCATCTTAGCTGTACAGATGATATGTTTTTAATTAAAGTATAAATAAAGGTCTTATCTATACATATAATAAAATTGTAACTAAGTCGAATCTGTACATTAAATATTTTTTTGGAAAATCTTATTGAAATACTTATTATTATCGATACAGAGGCCAAATCTATAGTTTTTAGAATTTTTGTCTGTCTGTCTGTTACCGCATCACGGAAAAACCACTGGAGGGGTTTTGATGAAATTTGGTATGATGATAGCTGATTATCCGGGTCAACATATAGGATACTTTTTACCGCGGGAAAATATCTCATTTCTGAGAAAAAATACAAAAACTGCATTGTAAGAGTATACTAATAAGTAAAATCTAAGAATTTGGTTTTTGGTCATATGAACGCGGGCGGAGCCGCGGGCAATGCTAGTTAGTATTACAAACTTTGACCCAACAGATCCAGTCCAAATATTACTAAAGTAATCTTTCTAAGTTCAGAAAAAAAATACTATAAAAAAGCATTATTGCGTTTTTAGGATTTTCTGAATAATGTTTAAAACCTATTGAAAACATTTTATGTAAATCGGTCCAGGCGTTCAAAGTGATGTGCTTACCAACGATCAACAACTTATTTTTCTCATCCTCACCTCGCTCGGGTTGGCCCATAGGTACACTTTAACGATTAATGTGGAATAGATAGACTATATATACCTAGGAATTATAAGTTTTATATCCTCTACTTGAGAAATGATTGGTTTCCCATTCAAACTTCCACCCCCCTTTTCACCTCCTTAAGTAATGATTTCCGGAATAAAAACTATTCTATATCCTTCTCAGGGTCTCAAATTCTCTCCATACCAAATTTTGTCTAAAACGGTTGAAAAAGTTTGAAAAGGTAACGGACAGACAGTATTTTGCATTTATAATATTAGTATGATTATTCATATTAGTATGGATATACATACATGAGATTGTATTTGAACTAACATTGTATTGTATTAAGTTGTAAGTGGTGAGCTACAAATTTAAAGATTTTTTTAAAATTTTAAACACTTTTTAACCGACTTCCAAAAAGGAGGAGGTTATCAATTCGTCGGAATCTTGTTTTTTTATGTAGCTACCTAGCTTTTAGGACTATCTGGATTAGCCTTTATAGTAATGCGTTTACGATGCAACTTTTTGCATGGAAGATGGATCTCAAATTTACCTCACTACTTTCCGTTTAAAAGATTTTTATTTATATACCGACTTACTTCTAAATTAGTCTATTTTAACCAAACCGGAATAAATCTTCCAAGCATCAGAATTCCAGGTCAGTCGTAGAGATTTTAAGAAAAGGCAATAAATTAAATCATTTAAAGTATGTTTTATATGTGATGTGCACATCATTTTCTATGTATTTTTTTATTACTTTTTTAGTGCAATAAAGAATATATATATATATATATATATATATATAAAATTTCTAACAGCTTGCCACTTAAATTGAGCAAAGCATATTATTCCATTGCAGAATATTTTACAGATGTAAGTGAGCGTGGTTACTATTAGTTGATTCTTACATAGGCTGTAAGAAAGAACATAATTTTATATTTAATTTTTGTAAAGTAATATTGTTTAAAAAAAAAGAGCTTCAAAGTGCCTTTTGAGCCGGTGGTATATTTTTCCTCACAGACTTACATATATATTGACATTTAATTTAAAATCCAAAATTGACCAATTAAAAGTGCTTGTAAAAGTTTATTTGAATAAAGTATTTTATTTATATTAACAGATTTTCATATATCCAAATTTAAAGTAACAAAATGTCGCGGCAAAAGTTAGCTAAAGAAACCGATAATGATTCAGTTTTATTTATTTTTTTAGATCAAAATATATTATCTGGTCATAAAAAGTGGAGGCATGTGTTGGTCGTAAGTCGTAACTTATCCTCATTTTTTACTCTACCAGTAATATATTTTGAATTAAATCATTTAAAGTATGTTTTATATGTGATGTGCACATCATTTTCTATGTATTTTTTTATTACTTTTTTAGTGCAATAAAGAATATATATATATATATATATATATATAAAATTTCTAACAGCTTGCCACTTAAATTGAGCAAAGCATATTATTCCATTGCAGAATATTTTACAGATGTAAGTGAGCGTGGTTACTATTAGTTGATTCTTACATAGGCTGTAAGAAAGAACATAATTTTATATTTAATTTTTGTAAAGTAATATTGTTTAAAAAAAAAGAGCTTCAAAGTGCCTTTTGAGCCGGTGGTATATTTTTCCTCACAGACTTACATATATATTGACATTTAATTTAAAATCCAAAATTGACCAATTAAAAGTGCTTGTAAAAGTTTATTTGAATAAAGTATTTTATTTATATTAACAGATTTTCATATATCCAAATTTAAAGTAACAAAATGTCGCGGCAAAAGTTAGCTAAAGAAACCGATAATGATTCAGTTTTATTTATTTTTTTAGATCAAAATATATTATCTGGTCATAAAAAGTGGAGGCATGTGTTGGTCGTAAGTCGTAACTTATCCTCATTTTTTACTCTACCAGTAATATATTTTGAATTTCCTTCGGATCATTTACTATCCATGCGATATTTTTGCAAACGCTATATTAAGTATATAAAAATAGAGTGTTCTTAATAATTTTCTTCTTCTGTCTGTATTTAACACTTTAAAACAATAGAAGATAAAAAGTAAATAGAAAATTATTTTAAGTATCCATTCAAATTTTCATGTGATAAGTTATCTACTTTAGAACATTTTCCGATAGGACAGTCCAGACGATAGGGCACTTAAGTTAGTACACCTGCCGCTCTAATTAAACTGCCCATTACGATGGTTTGAACATGTGCACATAGGTTGCTTTAGTGTAGGCAGCCTAAGATTTTCTGTAAGCAAGGTTGCTGTAATTTGGTCTTAGGATAATATTTCTATAGACATAAACTACATTATTGTACATTTAATATTTTACGTAATATGTATACTACTTTCAATTTGTATTTTTAAATTTAAAGCAGTAAGTAAGACGTATTCTATAATCAGAATATTAAATTACACGAAGTGGCTGAAATTGTCGAGTTTCCATGTATAGAGATCAAATACAAACAATCAAATTGGATGTCAGTCTAATCATGAAACGCATCGCCGCTTCATGTGTACATTTCATTTGCACATGAAGTTCATCCGGCCTTGTGCCACCTGAAGTGCGATGCGGCTTGTAGGAAATGTTTATCGTATACTATAAATATAAAACCGTTTCGCAACTAAATACTAAAAGTAAACGCACATTTATAACTAACTAGCATTGCCCGCGGCTCCGCCGGCGTTCAGATGACCACAAAGCAAATTCTTAGGCTTTACATATTAGTATACTTTTACAATGCAGTTTTTATATTTTTTCTCAGAAATGAGATATTTTCCCGCGGTAAAAAGTATCCTATATGTTGACCAGGATAACCAGCTATCACTATACCAAATTTCATCAAAACCTCTCCAATTTGGTTTTTGGTCACCTGAACCGGGCTCCGCCCGCGTTCAGGTGACCAAAAACCAAATTCTGAGGTTTTACATATTAATATATTCTTACATTGAAGTTTTTGTATATTTTCTCAGAAGATCATGAGACATTTTCTCGCGGTAAAAATAATCCTATATGTTGACCCGGATAACCAGCTATCACCATACGTTTCATCGAAATCCTTCCAGTATTTTTTCTGTGATGCGGTAACAGACAGACAGACAAAAATTCTAAAAACTATAGATTTGGCCTCTGTATCGATAATAATGTTAATTTCAATAAGATTTTCCAACAAATATTTAATGTACAGATTCGGCTTAGTGACAATATTATTATATGTATATGTAGATGAATATTATAAATGAGTGATGAGTTCTTTGGAAGTGAACAAAAGTAGGTACTGTTTTTGGGAAATATCCCCAACTTTTATATCCGATCATTGGAAAAAATAATACAATCAGATATAACGTTCGAATGTTTATTGGTTTCTGTTCCTCTATCAAAAAAATATTATTTATATTCTACTAGCATTGCCCGCGGCTCCGCCCGCGTTCAGATGACCAAAAACTAAATTCTTAGGTGTTACATATTAGTATACTCTTACATTGCAGTTTTTGTATTTTTCCTCAGAAATAAGATATTTTCCCGCGGTAAAAAGTATCCTAGGATCGCGCGCTACATCGCCCGGTTTATATAGCTTGAGCACACACACGACCGCCTGGGTCGAGCGATGCGGGGCAGAGGGGATGGACTCGCCGTAGGCATCTCAATGCTCGCCAAGCATTAAAAATGTTTCGCTACTAATTACTTCTAACAACGATATCTCAAAAACTATTCATCTGATTGATTTAGTGTAAAGAGCAATTTTAATCTGCATTAAATGACTAAGCTAACTAAAATATTCATTTGGATAAGGATTAATACCGAACTAAAGAAAATAACTTTGAAAATAACGTAATGTTTTTAATTAAAAATGTTAACATAAAAGTGATTATTGTAAGTCAACCGTAAGAGATAGAGATATGCTATCGCGGACTTTTTTGTAGCATTTTTATAGATTTTGAATTCTCTAGTACATTACTTAACTGTATCTTTGCTAGTTTACGCGGCGTTCGCGTGGAAAGTTCCCATTTGGCGAGATTTTTTGCGACCTCTTCAACATTTGTCGCCGTATTTCAGCTAATTTACATAAAAGCATAATAAATTATATACCTAAACCTTCCTCAACTCTTTCTATTGTTGAAAACCGTATAAAAATCCGTTCAGTAGTTTTCGAGTTTATCGCGTACAGACAGACAGGAGGACAGACAGGAGGACAGAAAGACGCGGCCGGGGGACTTATTTTTATAATAAGTATAGATAGATGAAAAATATTATATTTTAGGGTTCTGTAAACAAAAAGTTACAACGAAATATATCTATCTGTCTATTCTATACTCTGTCTGTCCATTTGTATGGATGTAATCGATAGACATTTTAATCAAATGCTATTTGGGTTATATCAGTCTTTGAGTAAGTATTTAAAATTTAGTTAGATGTTTCTGACCTTTTTTCAAGTACATAGTTGCAGAGTTGGATGCTGCTAAAGTCCTAAATATTTTCCTCTTCGCGTTACATTGTTCGGAATGGATTTTATTTTATTTTTCAAAAAAAAAACACAAGTATAAGTGAATTTATTGAGGGAGAAAATTATAACATTGCAAAACTAGATATTATGAATATGTATCTAAATTTATTGCGAGAAATGTGTTAAATTTGTGAGAAATGTACCTTTGTAATATATATTTTGTACTTTACGTTAACTGGGTCGTCCTCGTACTGGAATACCAAATACAATGTATTGTTATGCTTAACGCTTGAACAGTTGTAACTGCTTTGTGACTTCGCGGAAACTTGTTCAATCAATAAAATAATATTTGATAGCGAGTGTCGAAGCACGGGCAATGTTGTTTACGAAATGTGCTTGTAGGTATATATGTGTGGTCAAAGTACGCATATTTAATGGATTTTTTAGGTATTTGATATCTATACGTTATATATATATATATATATATATATATATATATATATATATATATATATATATATATATATATATATATATATATATAGTTTGTGTATGGAGAAAAACCGGATTTAATGCAGGCTTAAGTTAAACAAAAAATCAAGTGCAAGTCAGAAATGCAACCAGTATATTTTTATTTTTTATATTTGATTGCATTGTATTGTTATTACTGAGATACTTTCATTAGTCTCTATTATTATAGTCTAAAATTTCTATGACACACGGATATGACGGACGGACTTGATGAAATTGTAATCGTTCCGTTTGTTTTTTTAGATACAGAACATTAAAAATACGTTGTGTTTGTTAAAACGACACCAACAACTAAATGTAGAACACATCAAACGCCAAAATTCACTAAATATTTATTAGGTTATTTAAATGTCCATTGTTAAATAATAGCAATTCAATTCCTATTGTAAGAGAACCGTTTAGTTTACGTAATAGAATTTTACATAGTTCACTGACGACAGTTATATTATGAGAGGTCATGTTAATATAACACGTGCTTGTGCACCCAGCATCACGATCTTGTTACGTATTTGCTTATCTTAATGTTATTTATAAGTTATATATGCTATGTTATAATGCTTTGGCTTTCTCTTTAAAGTAATATAGTTTGTATTTGAAATAAAAGTAACTTTTCGAATTTTTTCGCGGTTTCGAATGCTTTACATCAATCATAGTCATGGGAGAGGAGAGATCTTTGTCGTATGATTGCATTCAAAACCGCGAAAAATCCGAAAAGATAGTTTTATTTAAAATGTCACATATTCGCGTAAATCTAAGGAAGTATAATATTATTTTATATTTTACATAAATTAAATAACTTTTGATATTACTAGTTTCTGTAATTTATAAATAAAAAAAAGAATTAAAAATAATTAATGAATTTCACAACACTTTTGAGTTGAGACAAAAGGTGTTTTATCTGTGATAGGTACATAATTATATATACACAAAGGGTAATTAATATAGAATATGATAGATAAATATAATACACATATGTTCGCAACAAAAAAAAACCAATAAGAGATAAGATTTGAATTAGAGCATTGATTATTGATGATTGATTTTTGTTTTTTTTTTATCTGTTATTAATTATTAGCATTAAGTACTTATTAGCGAAAACTGAAAGACTTTCGCTTAGCCTCAAGGGCACTATTTCTTTTACTATAGGACAATAAACTATCTATCCAATAAGTTTTTATTTTTCCATTTTTAGTGTACACGTAATAAGAAGAAAGTTTTTTAATAACATATTCGATAATGCAATTTATTTAAAATAATAATTTATAGTTGATTTTTTTAAAAAACCGCTCGGCCAATTTCGGTGAAATTTAAATGGGACCACCTGAGATATACCATTCGAAACAAAAAAATTCAAATCGGTTCAGGCCTCTTCGAGTAATCGGTGAACAAACATAAAAAAAGATTCCGACGATTTGAGAACCTCCTCCTTTTTGGAAGTCGGTTAAAAATACTGCTCAATTGAGATTTCCTTTTGACGTCGGTTTAAAGTCATGATAATCAGTTATTCAGTTGGTATATAAAATAAGGACATACCAACAAAATAACAAACACAATTTCACATTTATAATATTAGTGAGAATGAGAAAGAAGAGAGAAGTCACAATGTGCTATTAGATATATTGCTTGACCCCTTGTGTTAATCGCATCGCTTCCTAGGCAAATAGCTTAGTAAGCTCCACTGATAAACTAGTTTCTATATAAACTGACACTTTATTTGTTTTGATTTCTAGTGCATCTGTGATAAGCAAGACATATTTGTAGTGAAACGGGAAAATTTGGTACGTATGGTTCTAAATGAATACTTATAATTAAAATTGTTGTGTTTATCTGCAAAATAGGTACCTTTCATAGTGAGCTCAAATACCTATAAAAATCGATTTTTAACTAATTTATGAAATGGGGTAAACTAAGTTTAACAACATATTTAGGTGAAAACGAAGTAGGCTACTTTAATCCCGGGGGACTAAGGCTCTCGCTAGATAAAGTATAGAAGGAAAAAAATTAGATTTTACTTAGGTTTTGCGCTGGCGGATAGAGAATTTGGCCGAAAATAACATAGGCAATAGCCTAATAAATATATTCGGCTAATTAAATATTAGTCCAAGAAAAGAAAAGTGTTCTTGTGGGATAGGCGATAAAAATCATATCGGTCGTTAATTATCATAAGCAGTGCTATCTTTTCGGACTGAGATCTTAACAAGACTTATACTGCTTGACATATAGATTAGGTAGTTAGTTTAGTTTAGTAGTAGAACAAAAACGGTTGCAATCTGAACGGGATTTTCATAATAGCGTGAGAATTTCAGAGGGAGTGATGTAGGATGTTCTTATTGTTACAGCACGCAGGAGAAAACTAGCGATCAATATGAATATTTCTTAAACGTTGAACGAGAATTGAACCAGCAACCGTCTATAATTCTATCAAATAAAATGATTTCATAGAAAATGAAAATAAATATGAGCAACATACAACTAATTGTACTGTGAAATAACTTCGTTGATCAATTTTCTGTAAAACTTCTGATTGCAAACCTTCCTGATCTTTTTCTTTCTCTCTGCCCAAAGGTTCTCTGGAAGAGATCGCTTACTTAGCGATAAGGCCCCTTGTTGTGCTATTTCTTTTTTAATATATATGTAGGTATATATATCATGTAATTTCTTTTTGGTGTGCAACAAAGTATATTTGATTTGATTTTAATTTTTTTTTAATATGAATACTGTCACTATTTAGAGGTATAGTTGATAATTTAAAAAATCTACTTTTCAGATAAAAATGGGGTTTCATCTAGATGCGGTTTTTTTAATGATTACCAACGCAGTATTAAGTTGCCTAGCAGGTGATTTAGTAATATCTCCCAAGGACGATCCATGTAGGTCGTTCTCCTCGTGTGCCACATGTATTTCCCAGAGCGCATGCACATGGTGTGTCACCAAAAGTTTATGTACGAAACAACTTTGCGGTAACGACAATGTTATTTATCCTGAAGGAAATAGTAATGTCCTTCTGTTTGGACCGGACTTTTGTCCTCGTATCGCAGAAACAAAGGATCTCATATTTGAAAGTGGCAAACGAAAAATTGTTGATATTAAGATCACACAAATATACCTATATATGGCATTTCTGCCTTGGAAATGTAAAATTAATTTGAATGGTGAAGAAACTATTGTTACTGCTATGTTAATAGGAGACTCTGTGTATTGCGAGTCGTTTGAAATGAACAATAAGTCCGAAAATCCGTACGTCGAAGGTACAATAAAAGTGCTATGGGATTACAATAAGGCTTTTGATGGATCGTTCCCTTTCAAAGTATGTCGATGTGATTTGGAGCCAAATTGTGTCGCTTGCAACAAAATAGATAAAAAATAGTGAATAGTGCGTATGTAATGAGAATATTTGCTTTTGGCCAAATGGATCTGCAGTACATAAACGAATGTAGAATTTTCCTGAGCTTTATATCAAGACCAACGTTTACTTTTATACAGGACGCATTGTTGTTTATAAAAATGGTTAAATTTGGTTTGGAATTATTAACATATTTATTTATTGTATTACTATGTTTAGTACAAATGTATTGATCCAGAGTTTTATTAAAAAGTTCATTGTTACAGCTGCTCTGACTGTTTATGTACAATAATCATAATATATAGTCCATTTTTGTTTAAATAGTCCAATTTTTTCACCAGATATAGTTAATAAATGGAGCACTTACATACTTAGTAATATAATTATACTCGCATTTTGCTTCATGTCATCATTAGTAACTAAACGAGATCCATCCATATCCAATCCATTTGACATGTCTAAACCATTTAAACTAATAATAAAATTTCTGTGCGAAAAATAGACATCAAAATAATTTTGTTTTTCATGTGAATATAAAATTCAAGAACTAATTCGAAGCCGCGTCGACACGAAGCTCCTTCATGTTTCTTTTATAACCGTGTTATAAAGTGATTGAAATTTAAACTTTAAATTCGTGATGTAGAACTTCTAGCATACAAGGAAATTGAAAAATGATTGCATTTTGCTTGCCTTCTATATTGATGACGTTTTGATACTCGCAGCCTTTGTGCCGAAGTGAAGAACGCTTTCGTTACCTTACGTTTTACTTAGCTTATGTACAATATTTTATTTTAATATAATACTTTTGTACAAATAAGAATAAGAAAATTATTAAACACTTAAACTTCATTTATTGGTTTATGATTTTGCCCTAAAATCTTTTGAGTTTACACTTTCTTAAAGGAATTAAGTTGGTCTAGTAACCTTACTTTACTAATAGAGCAAAGAGCAGAGATTAAATTTTTAATGAACCAGCAGCGCTCACTTTGAATCCAGTTTAATTTGATCTGAAAGAGAATGCTGCCACAATATACCGCCTTATCGCTATGGAGAGGAGTCCAGATACCTAATACCAATTAACAGATGTCACGGACAGTTTGCTTGGCAAATTTTATGTATTACTATTTATTTGTTTACATTAAACAATTAAATACGAGCCTCTTTGTTTATATTTTTATCGACTTCTAATAATAGACAAATATATTATTATAATAATTAATTGTTTGCATATGAGAAACATAGACATATATAATTTTTACTTAATTTTTTCTTAATTTGTTAATAATAATATATTTAGCTGGTATTAATTTCATAACATAATTTTGACTTGTATACTTTTTGTTTTAAAAGTTATTTTTACTTCTCATATACTATCTTTTGATTGTCGTTATCGCCTACTATTAAGGTACAACTCTGTCTTTTTTTCTATATAACTTATGTATTTAGTATGCACTTTGTTGGTAATCTAATTAAAAATTAAAAAATAAATAAATAATTATTAGAAATTACATGATAATTTCTCTCCGTGACGTTGTCCTTCCCTTAATTTTAAATACAAATTGTAATGATAAGCAAAATTACAAGTTTTGAATATATTTTTTTATATTTGTTATTTATTTATTTTTATACTTTGTGCATGAGCAAGTGTATGGTTGAGAGTTCCGCTAAAACGCAGAGGTTTTATCCATAGCCGGCGACCTGAAAGTGTATTCAGACCGCATATTTAGTGTAGAATTTTATACTATTATGAAATATTTTTTTGTAAAGACTTATAGCAGAAAAAATAATTTAAACTTTTTGTATAATCTTGTGAGCTTTTGCTTGGCTGACTAAATTTTACACTGAACAAATTATAATTTTCTTTTGGAGTAGAGAAATATATCATTTTGATGATATTGATGATATCATCATATATATATATATATATATATATATATATATATATATATATAGTATGTGTATATACGAATTAATTAAAAGCATATGTTTCTTAAATTATTATTTCTGGCAATTAAAATATTTATAATCATGGTTTTAAAGGTTACATACAGTATGAATAAAGAAAAAGTTTAATTTTATTAGGACTCAGAAAACATTTATAATTAGGTATGAAAATACTCGTACTTTTATATCATCAATCAGTGTTTTTTGAAGTACCGTTGAATTAAAACTATCTGATAACTTATAATAGACTATTTATTTTAAGCTAGAATTTGTATAAGTCTATGAAGTGCTTACACTAACTAATTTAAAAAGTGTTGAGCTAATTTATGTAATTTAAAAGCTGTCAGCTACAGAGGACTAGCAAAGGACCGAGACAGAGATTGTGTATAGTAAAATAAAGTTGCTAGAGCTTCACAGGGCTTACTCGTATTTTGTACAAGCTTTATACTCAGCTCTTTTAAAACTCCACTGCTGGGTGTAGCCCTTCCTTATGAAGTGGGTTAGTTTGCAAGGTCAGCCCTTCTTTAGGTTTTTGGAAATCAAGGACCTAATAGACTTACCTCACTATATTTATTTAACTATATTATTAAGGGGTAATAGTGTTTGAAATGAGATTTGAATATCAATATTTCAGAGATGCGAGTCCTGGAGTTTGAACCCGCTTCACTCTGTTTCTAAAGCGAGTGTGCCCAAAATGAACTACTGCACTTATATTATTAAAACTTTTTAATATATTAGTGTAATGGCGAATGTCGCAAGATTAATATTATATAAAAGACTAGCATTGCCTGCGGCTCCGCCCGCATTCAGATAACCAAAAACCAAATCCTTAAGTTTTACATATTAGACTGTTGACCCGGATAACCAGCTATCGTCATACCAAATTTCATCAAAATCTGTCCAGTGGTTTTCTCGTGATGCGGTAACAGACAGACAGACAGACAAAAAATCTAAAAACTATAGATTCGGACTCTGTATCGATAATAATGTCTATTTCAATTAGATTTTCCAAAAAATATTTAATGTACAGATTCGATTTAGTTACAATTTTATTATATGTAAGTATAGATGACCATTGTACATGTTTCTATTTAGTTTGTAAGTTGCAGCCTCTTAAAGTGATTTGTATTTTTTATAGGTCGTAAGTAAAGCTGTAATTTTAGAGCTATTTAAACGATTGAAAAAAGAGTTCTGTAATTCCGTCATGTAGACAGAAGTTCTTATATGTAAAAACAAATCTAAATGTGTTGTGTGAAATCCGAAAACCCTATGGTATTTAAGCACAAGAGACTAAGCCCTCCATTTCAGATTCAAGTAATTTGCAGTCGAGGCTCTGCATTATTAGTTGGTAAACAAAGGATAAACCTTATTATACGGTTAGTTTTCGGCATAGCGTGAAGCTTAAGCCGGCTGCTCGTCTCCCGCGCGCATAACTTTGTACGTGAAGCGAATTTATCTAAGTTACGTTGCTGTTTTACCGAACTTCGCCGTGTTTGTAAAACGATATTCGAATTTTGTTTTGAATTATTTTTGTATTTTGGATATATTTTTATACTAGTTTTCTCGCGCCTTCGCCCGCCATGCTCAATTATGTATTACTATATAATTGTGAATTACCTGTAGAACCTGTAATTACATGTGAAAGCTACACTGTAAAGTTTCATTAAAATCAACATCCATACGTCTTTACACATAACAAACTTTCGCATTTATGATGTTAGTAGGACTAGCGACTTACCCTTGCTTCACTCGTTTTCGTCTCTAGGTGCCTAACAGTATTAGTAGTATTTTATCCAAATCTGTCGAGCCGTTTTATCATGAAGGACATACACACATATTTTTTGCATTTATAATAGTAGTCCCATGTAATTTTATCCTTTATGTAGCCTATTAAAGCAAATTGTGTTTAGATTTAAGCGTAATTAGCTGCCTGATTAAATTTTGTATGCATAACGTTGAACGTACATATCTCTGTGATATTGCGTTTTTAGATCTTATCCTTTGTTACAAATCCATATATAAATTTCTTCTTCATTCAATTCAATTATATATTAAAATTACAAAAAAGTGCCGTAATTGTGTTTAAAAAATAATTAATATATTAATGAAAAGCTGAGAAATGGACTGAGCTGTCTAAAGTTCGATTAAATTTTATAATAAATTGTTTAGTGTCTAGAGGCGTAATTAATTAATGCCAACATCTCTTGATAATTCTTCTTATTTCCATATATACAAGTATATAATAAGTTCTATTTATCGTTTGTAAATTTCGATAGTATTCTATATAATATGTATTTATTAAAAAAGTTATTTATTGACAATGACAGCCTGGGTCTAGAAGATATGAAATTTTACAGAAGACTTTCTTGTATACCAAGGTAGCTGTATGTATGTGGTGGTGCGTGTATTTTTGAAGTTAGAAAGAATAAATAATCATTTTTGAAATCGAAATTTGTGTTTAAAGTTATAGGTACTTGCAGTGTCTGTTAGAAATCCCATTGGGCTCGCTGCTTGTAATAAAATAAAGATTATTGACCTCTTTTCAAAGTGAAATGGTTCTGAAGAGTCGCGATTCAAAAAATGTCGATATATACGACGCGTGTGGCTCAGTTTGTAGTGACCCTACTTGCTGTGCCAGCGGTCGCGGGTTCGAGTCCCGCTGGGGGGGATTCATTTGTGTGATGAGCGCGAATGTTTGTACTCCAGTCATGGGTGTTTATATTTATAATATGTATGTATTTAAAGTTATATATATGTGTAGTGTATCAACTATCCGGTATCCATAACACAAGCCTCGTAGCTTAACATGGAACTAGATGGTGCTGTGTGTTAATGTCACAACATACGTGAATCGTGCATACTTTTCAACTAATAAAGTTGAAAAGTTCTTAGCTTATTAGTAGTATTTTTGTTATAATATTAATACCTCCACGACCGCGGATACGCCGGCGTGTCATAGATTTCTTAGAATTTTAATTAATTTCTTAGAAATTTACCTAGAGGTATTAGATTTCTTAGAATTTTAATTAATTTCTTAGAAATTTACCTAGAGGTATTAATAAAATATTTTTTATGAA